AATATAAAAACAAATACTGCAAAAAAATAATTCTTATTTTTAAATTTTATTATCTATAATTATTTTTTTAATATTTTGCATTTTAAAAAAATAAATCAGAGCTGAATAAATACAAAAATATAGATAAATTTGTTTGTATTAGTCTACAATCTAAAGGATAATAAACTTATATAGCTTTTATTATAATTGTATTCAATAGCAGCTTATAACCTCTTAGCTATAAGGCTGATTAAAATAATAAAAAGAAATAAAAATATACTTATAACAATTCAATATACTAATTCTAAAATAAAGTAATAATAAAATATCATAATATAGTAATAGTCAAAAAAAAAAAAGAATAATAAAAAAATCTATAATATTTGTATAATATAGATAGTATAAGTAAGTATATACATGTGTACATAAATACTTAAAAATTATTAACCAAATTTATTAAAAAAACTTAATACTATATTAGAAGCAATCTGAGTACATATGACTATAAATGCATAAAATAGATCTTTTGCACTATTCACAAAATTTCTGTTTCTTTTGATCTAACTTTTAATAGTTCTAAAAGCCAATTCTATAGGGTTAAAGTCTGGTAAGTATGGTGATAAAAAAATAATATAGCAACCAAGTTCTTCTATTATTTGAATAAGATATTTATTATAGTAAATTTTTGTATTATTGATAATGATAACACTATTTTTGCCTAGAAAGGATTTATTATAGAAATCTATTATTAAATAAAATAGAGTTTAGAATCAAAACTGTTTTGACTGATTTTAACATAAAAATGAATTTCGATTTCAAACTCTAAAATAAAATATTATTATTATTATTATTATTATAAAAAAATTTTAACACGGTGCAGCTTTGAAAAGATCCATCGAATTGGATTGCTAACCTAAACCCACTGATGTCTTCAACCGGTGTCTACTATCAATATTAATCAATAAAAAAATAATAATGTTAGTATGTTATTTAAATTAAAGACAAATATCAAGGATAAAAACGGTTACTTGCCTTAGAGAGAGTTATCTATAGTAAAGAGCCATAGTATAAATGCCTTTTCATTTATAGAGTTATAATAGTATATATCGATTTGAACATTTTTTTAAATGATGAATTAATGCCAAAGTAATAAATCACATCATGTAAAAATTCTTTCATTTAAATTATAACTTAGTTTTTTTTTTATCTTTTCTAGGATATTATTATTTAGTAAAGTTTCAAAAGTTCCATTTTTCGTTTCACCAAAAGTTTCGTCTTTTGCCAGGGGTTCATCTTTCACCAGAGGTTTCGTCTTTCTCCAGGGTTTTACCATTTCGCCAGTGAGTTTCAAATTTTTTCTTTCGCCAATTTCAAGTTTCGCTTCTCGCCATTACGTAATATAGTTTCACCTAACAAATATAATCGTGGTTTACCGACCAAAAAACCAATTCATGGTGTCGATCGTATAATTGCCGTAGCTTCGGGTAAAGGTGGTATTGATAAATCTACATTAGCTAGTGAGTTAATGTATTAAACTTAATAAACTTAATTAAATCTATTAAATTTAATATCTCAAAATATATATTTATTTAATATATTAATGTTTTATTAAAATAGTAAATCTTGCATTGGCAATTGCATCTTTCCGTCATCGCGTGGGTATCCTAGATGCAGATATATTTGGACCTTCTATACCTCGTTTATTAAATATTAAAGTAGAACCTCAAACGAATGAACAAGGTTTGTTATTTTCATGATCAATTTCTGCATCTAACTCCTCATACTTAACTCAATTTTATTAAGGAAATTTGATTCCGCTTGTAAACTATGGTGTGAAAGCAATGTCTATGGGGTTCATCATAGGTGAAGATTCGCCAGTTGTCTGGAGAGGACTTATGGAAAGTCTTGAATATTTTAGTCACTTTAACAAATTCTTGTGCAATTTAGAATTGATAGAATAAATAAGAAAAAACATGATTTATATGATTCCGTGACTTATGAGTAGAGCTTACCGATTATTCGAATAATATTCAAGTTATTTAGAGCAGCAAATATTTATTCGAATATTCGCCGAAGGACTGAGATTATTTGATTAAGTATAAAATTACTTGTTCGAATAAGTTTTGTTTATTCGCATTATTTATTGAATAATTATTTGAAAGTTTTTATTCGAATATTCTCTGAATATAAAGATTCATTGAATAAGAATACAAATATGTAAGCCTACTTGTGTTCAACGAAATCACGATCATAACTCTGTCATTCAATAGGAAGTCAATAAAATTTAAATATAATTTTTTTTCTAAAATTTTAAACATGAATAACCCGATGACATCTAACCAAAATTTTGTTTTTAATTCTACAACCTGGTATAATTAAAAAGAAAAAACAAATTATTAAAAAATTATTTAGGTTATTGTCAAGTTGTTCATGGTTAAAATTTTTTAAAAAAAAGTTCATATAAAATTTACTTGATCTTTTGTATTAAACATCAATATATGTATATTATGTTATTTATTATTCAGATGATGAAAGCACTTCAGCAATTACTTCATCAGGTACACTGGGGTGAACTAGACTTATTAGTAATAGAGACACTCAACTAACTATTAGCCAACAAGTTGTTTTAGATGCTAATTATTTGGTAGATTTTGATTACTTCAAATTATTAGCAATTTTTTATTATCGATTAGAATATGTAAGTTGCCGATATTATTTATATTATTAAATGTATATTTTGATATTATTAGGTATTGTAATTGTATCTACACCACAAGACATAGCACTTGTAGATGCAAGAAAAGGTGCCAATATGTTTATGAAGGTTAAT